AGTCCCGTTCATCGCGCTAGCACCGCTCCGCAACGTCGACTAGGACTCTCCCTTTCAACGCCCAGCGAATTCAGGTTCATGACACTGACGCACGGGCCATGGGCGTTTGAAAGAAGGATTCTTTCGGTGCCCCTCACCCGGTCAGGCACCGCGTAAGATAGAACGCCAGTGACGTCCTGGAACGTTGCCTTGTCCCGAGTTGACGTTATCACTGGCGGTAGCCACATTTCTGATCACACAGGAAAACTTAAACAAGGAAACCCGAACATCTGGGTCATCAGACGTGGGCTGTTTCCCCACTCCCTTTTGTTATTGTCTGCTAGCGCTCCAGATTCATATATCCCCTTGCGACGCGGAACACAGATATGGGTAACATCTTGTGATCGCACTGATGGGTCAGGGATCGCCCGAGGTAATTCCTCCGATGACCCCTTTCGGGCGCATTTTGCCTACAATGACCCCAAGCCTGCCCTAAGTAACCAAATAAGGAAAGCAGTGGCTGTGGCAATAGAAGCACGTGCCTCCGGTCAATCCAACAACGCGTTTTGTGAATGTTTTGCTATTAGAACAGACCTTTTTCAAAAGACAAGCTGGTTGGCATTGTGTATGGTATCTATTATTTTCAAGAACTGCTGCGAAAATCATTGCCTTGCTGTAAAAGTGCGGTGTTTCCTCACCTATGTTCACGATGGTGAAAATCGGTGAATTATTATACGAGGCATCCATGCAGAATAAATTGATATTTACTGTAACATAACTAATGAAAAAACAAAACAAAGCTTGCGAATTAATCGTCGGAACATGCTTTATAAACCGACACGAAGAGACTGGACCCTAACGCATCTTGAACTCCTACCACCGCGTTTCTTAATTGGAAGGTCCGTGGTTGCTTAGGGCAGGCCTTGGGGTCATTTCAGGGATTTGCACCCGAGGGGTCATGGTAGGCAAAATGCGCCCAAAAGGGGTCATCGGAGGAATTACCTCGGCATCGCCCACACGCCTGTCTTGGCGCGCACCGGCTTGGGTTCACACTGCCCCTGTTGTCCCACGGGCGTCCCACAACACCCATAGGAGTGAGCTCCCCATCGTCCACGACAAGCATGCTAGCAATGCATTGTTATCCATTGACAACATCCTAAGCTCTGCTATGCTCAAGTCTGTTACTCTGATTCCTGCTGGTGTTCAAGACGTTTCGATCGCGTACCATACAACCGACTAATGGCAAACACAGCACAGCACTTGCTCACATGTGTCTGCGTCCACAATCATGAGTGGACAGCGAATGGATCTGCCAGCTATGCACGGTATGTGCTCGCTTGTGCCTCAGGATCTGGACCGGTCTCATCGGGGTTCCCGGTTTGGTTATCCGCAGGTCGGCTCTAAGATGGGGCATTACGCATTCAGACAACGCCACTTTCTTTGTTCACAATAATCATCTCGTCCGGAGAGGGATCTTCAGCGAATTCGCCAACGAGCAGGGAGTGTGGGATGTTGGGAAACATGCAGCAACGTACTTTTCGGACCAGGGAGGTGCGATGTACCAGAAGACGATGACGAATCGGAATGGCTTCATCACGTCGAAGATGGCACTTCCGACAGGCATGAAGTACTCGAGGGCGTTTGCGGATGTGCAGGCGCAAGATGTCCAGAATGGTGCGTGTGGTTCGTGTTCCGATCTGGGTGCATACATTGACCGCATGCGACAGATTCGGAGGTGAGGATTGGACCCAACGCCTCATGAGCATCTCTCACGCCTCGCAGTATGTCGTACCCGTGGTGGGTAGATAATGCACATATAGCTGGTGGATCGAGCTTAGGCATGTTGCGCAGACTATCGGAAGTCCCGGAGTGACCTTGAATTTGGATTTCGACACAGGTGGGCTTCAGCTATCTTTCTCACCTTACCTTCGTTCAACCCCTGCCAGGTAGCTCGGATCTGTGAGTATCCAAGCTAACCGACGCGCATATAGGGCTCACGCGAGGTCAGATGGGTATGGTCCTCCCAAAGTAGAGGCTCGAAGGCGAATCGCAAGATCTATTCACCTTCACATTCGAGAACCGCCCAACATGCTCAAGGACTGACGTGGAACATCAAGTACGCGGACGGATCTGGTGCTCGTAAGCAGACCACTAGTACAAGATGAACAGTTGTGATTGACACAATTCCAGAGGGCGATGTGTACTATGACGCAGTTACCGTGCAAGGCGTGAAGGTGTCGAACCAGGCTGTCGAGGCTGCCACGAACCTCAGCGGTGCCTTCTTAGCCGATTCACAAAGTGACGGATTGTTCGGCCTGGCATTCTCAAAGTATGCTCGGCCCCTTCCGACCCCCTTTAATCTGTTTATCACCATGATTTAGGATTAACACTGTGGCGCCCACGAAACAGAAGGTAGGGAGGGACAGGGGCCGCAGTGGAGATGGTCTTGCTGACACAGGCCTGTAGACGCCATTCCAGAATATGCTTGATCAGAAGCTATTAGATCGGGTATGTTTGTGGCTGATGCCATAGTTCAAGTGCTGATAGGCGTCTTAGCCTATTTTCACCGTCAAGCTGGATAAGGGAGATAGCGGGGGTGCGCCTTTCTCCATGTATGCGCTACTCGATGTTGATTTTCGACAGGATTTTATACCTTTGGGCATGTCAATAGCAGTGTGCTACCCCCTGGGGTGGACATATGGACCACCTATGTCGATCCCCGCAACGGCTGGTGGGAGTTTGAGAGTCGGGCGATTATGATCGGCAAGCACGAGTTTCCTAGGCCACCAGGAAATACGGCCATTGCAGTGAGTCGCCCTGGTATGTTTAGATATGGAATGGAACTGATCTGGATCCAGGATACAGGTACAACATTGTACATTGGTTCTACGTTGTTCCACGATACGTTCTAACTGCTCCTGCAGGATTTTACTAGACGATGAGATTGTTCACTCAATCTATTCGGCGGTCCGTGGAGCGGTGCTCAACCATGCTGCTGGCGGCTGGATCGTGCCTTCCAATGCTACTTGTCCCGACATCTACTTTGCGTGTGGAGATCGCTACTTCGGCATACCCGGCGATGACTTGAAGTTCTCATCCTCTTCAGCAAAAGGATACATGTTTGGAGCCATTCAAAGCCGAGGGAGCAACAAGCAGGTATGCAGCTTTGTCTTGATTATTCGCATCGCTTCTCACGTTACTTGCAGGACATCTTCGGGGATGTGAGCTACTATCAGCCTATTCTTCTATCGCACGTCACTCATGATCTCTAGGTTTTCTTGAAGCGCGTGTATGCTCTATTCGACGCACGAGGAGGTACCCCAAGGATTGGGTTCGGACAGCGCGATTTCTACCGGGCTTGAGTCTTTTGTCCGCCGCTCCAGTTCGTTCTTGCATCTTTCCTTTTGGGCTCCTACTCCTAAGTAATGTTTAATGGGGGCTTTGAAGTGTATGATACCCGTGTTGGAAATAGACGCGACCGATATTTAATCAAGACAATTGTGTGCCTGCCCTTCAGGGTTTTCATTGATGATAGCCTTGTCGCCACATGACCACATCCCACGATCTCACCTTCAATCTCACCAGCTGTTCATTCAGCCTGGCCAGTGCACGTCTTTCTGCTCATCATGACAGCGGCGGCGCTCGGCAAGGCTCAAACCCAGGTGCCTTGTTCCTCATCCTCAAAGCCCTGATTAGACCAGGGCATTGGGTTCCGTGAGACCTTTGGATGACGGGGTAATATGAAGGGAAGACGTTGGTCTTTCCGAATTCAAGGGTGCAGGCTGCTCGTCAAACCACGGGGACCGGGGATTGGACAGACCATCCGGAGAATCAACCCGCCTTAACCCCGGGGCCAAGTGCATGGTCTCCGGCGGTCGTGATCAAAACTCCGCCCATGCATAGACTCAGCTGACAATGCCGGGTCAGCGTTCTTCAGTACTGTGCCGTCGTAGCCACAGAAAGTTCGTTCCGCTTGCCTTTGATTATTGTTGGATGGTGATGGCTAGGCTATTGGACAACTGGACGAGCGCCGGTCTCTGGTGTCGGATGAAACTAAGAAGTGCTACCATTGGGATAAATCGTTGTGGTATACGAGAGAACTGTCCGCGGCCACAAGGGAGTGTTTTCTCACGGTGTGCCACCTAGTGATGGCACACGCGATGCATCACTTCAAAGGCCACACAGCTCAGGCCTTAATTCATTTTCCACAAACCGAAAAATAAAGACGGAACAAGACACTCGGCACTCGTCCACGGCCGACCGATATGCCCCTATACTCGGAGTGGCCGTTGTCGGCCGCCAGCCATCTGCCACCTCACCGCTGACATCCTTTGTCCTTCCTACTGGTTTTGTCTTATAGGATGACGCGCCCGTCTTTGAACGTCTTTCATGCCGAGCACGGATACAGCCGATATTGCGCATGAGATGTCTGTTCAGCGGCTGGACTGTCAAGCTCTCATCTCCTATGCAATTTTTCACACACGTCAACCTCTAAACTCCGTTTGGACATCCCTGATCCGCTCCAGCCGCGCGGTCAAACCGATACTTGCGTAAGCGGGGGCGACGCACGCGGGCGTTACCACGGCGCTAGCTCCCAGAGCCCTGGACAATGAATCAATGAATATTTCCCTACAGGTGCTTCTCGGCGGCGACCCGAATACGAACAGAAGCATAGTGCAGCACATTGCATTAAGAACCTTACCGCATCATCGCCAACAAGCCTTCCTGTCGAGTTGGCACGGGTGCTGAGTCAGAAGCCACACGCATATGGCGACGATCCCGAAATCAACGAGTGGTGTCAACTGGGTGCCGAAACTGAAGAGAACAGAGGGGGTTCGGTGCTTCCGCCGATGAGGGAGCACGCGGTACGCACTTCTTCCCCCCTACACCCCCTACACTACTCGTATTCGCAGTCCGAGTCTGAATGAGTCTGAACACGAGTCTCATGAGTCCCAGAAATAAATTACACTGAACACTGAACACTGAACACGGGAAAACGTCCCTTCGACGCCTGACGCGCAGGTCTGGAGTACTGTACTAGTACTGTAGGAAGGGACATCTCACCCATTAATATTGGTCTCGCGTGGCTGTGCCCTCCAGGAAGGGAAATCGAAGCTTGGCGTGTGGTGACCCAGCACAGCTGAATAAAGTACAGTTCAGAGTTAGTACATCCGATCCTCACTCCTACCGGGTCGAACTGTACATACATTCCACGTACCACGCAGGCGAACACCCGTAGTACGTGTCCTAACGAGCACAAGCCCCATCAGAGGATCACACGGTTTATCACTTGCGGCCGCGCCCTTTATCGTACGGTCCTTTTCGGTCCTTTGAGTATGTACTTGTACAGAGAGCCCTCCACCGCGGGAAGGCGGTATCCAGCGCTCTTCGAAGAGGGCACGGCGCTGTTATTGACGGATGACCGTTGACCCAAAGCTACATTTATCTTTTTGAGAGTTAGGGCGCTCGGACTGTACTGTACAGGCGCTTAGATGTGAACTTCAGTAGAGGAATGCGGATAAGAATAGGAATACCAATACCAATACCAATACGAATGCTGATACTGATACTGATACGAAATGGAATGGGATGGGATGGTTTGAATACGCTAGAATGGATGGATGGATGGATAGTATGCATGCATGCTTGATAGTAGTGTTACATTGTCGACTCTCTCTCACACTCTTTCAACCTCTAATCTCTGGCAAACTCTCGGCTCATCCGCTGGCTTCATCTCTTCATCTTATCCCACTCTCGTGTGAAGCTCTCTTCTGATCTGACACATCTCCCCCTCCCACCCCAGCCCCGCCTCCCCCTCCCCCACTCCAGCGCTCATCTCCCCACACATCCCACCCCCACCCCAACGCCCACCCCAACCCCGCTCGAAAACCCCACAACCCTCTCCCTCTGCTGGGCCGAATTGATCCTCTCCACTTCTTCCTCCCAAGCGAGTACATGTTCGGGCTGCATGAGTTCTGTTATGCCTGGTATGAGCTGGCTTGAAGGGGTTTGGGGTTGGGTTTGGGAGGGAGAGGGGTGTGAGTGTGATAGTGTTGGTACGGATGAAGAGGAGGAGGAAGAAGGGATACGCGATTCCCGCAGAGGATGTGGATGAGAATGCCCCTGCGAGAGCGAGAGGGAATGCGAGTGTGCTAGCATACTCCCCGACCCAGACGCAGGACTGCCTACTCCCGGCGACCCCGACCCCGCACTCGGGCCCTCCCTCACCTCCCTCGAGTTGCCCAAATTCAAAAACAACCTCGCCTTAGTCCTCGGTCTCGCGGGTGGGTCGTTCGCCGTCGGCGGGGTACTCCGTTTCGGACTCGAAGGTGCCCCTGCCGGTGCAGGGGGAGAAAGGGCGATCTCTATGCCCATGGCTTGAGGGCGCAGCGTGCTTGGGCCTACTGGCGTTGGACGCAAGTCGTCCAACACTGGACGGGGGAATTCCTGTGACCTCCTTGGACGCAAAGGCCGTCCTTGGACACGGGATGAGCCTGCTGTCCTCGGTCTGCGAAGCACTGGACGCTGTGCCTGTGCCGCCGAAGCAGACGTGGACGCGGAAGTGGAAGCTGTCTGGGGAACAAGAGCGTTATATGCTGAAGAATAGGATTCCATCTGTCCCGAAGGGAGACGGGGGAGTTGAGGCGGCGGCGGAGGCTGGCGCTCTTCCGCTTCGTACCGCGGTGGCGGGGTGCTGGGGCGGTTAGCGTGCATCCTCGAGATGGCATCTCTCCGCTGCGCATTAGAAGGGAGGGTGACGAGGATCTCGGAAGAAGGGAGTTCCATGTGGTCTCTTTGCGGACTCGTAGGGATGGAGGAGACAAAGTGGAGTCTTAAGCGGAGGAAGAAGCGCGAGAGACACAAGGAGGTGATGCTGGTTTCCCCCAGACTCCAGTGGCCTGAGCTCGGGGGCCGGGGGAGGGCGAGCGTCGCGTACTGGTCGAGGGCGAACGGATCTAGCGGAAAGTCCTGGGTCATGATCGCGTGGGTTGTTGTTCGGCCCGGGGGGACGCCAGTGGAGGTAGCAGGTCGGATAGGGGAAGGGGAGCGACGTACGCCTGGGGCGGAGGAGCCTGAGCCGGAGGAGGAAGGACGGTTGAAGACGGTGCCGAGGAGGGACATGCGCTGTGCTTCTGGGGATGTGGGCGGGGAGGGCTCGGGCATGTCGAGTGTGCGATCGAGCTGGAAGGAGATGTGGGAGAATTGCATGTTCTGGGGTGGCTGGGGGAGGTGGAGACGGACGGTGAAGGGGTCGTCTGGACCTACGGGGTGGTGGGGTACTGTGACCCAGTGCTGTGCTGGGGAGAGGAGGGGCGGGGGAACGCTATATCGGACGATGTTGAGAGGGAGGGCTTTGACGAGGCGGTTACCAAGGCCGAACATGGGAGTGTGGTGTATGACTGTATGCGGTCAGTTGTACGCCTAAGAGGAAGGATGATGTGCGCACTGGCTTCGATCTTCCACGACACCTTGTACTCCTGATGTGACACTGTGCTGATGCCGCCAAAGGATACGGGAAGGGTGATACGAAAAGGCAAGTCCCAGTCGACGACCTCGATTGGTTCGTTTGCGTTCGCTGCCACCCATAGACAGTGTTCCTCTGAAGCGAGTACGTTCTGCTTTGCGATTGTGCCTGCCTTGTTTAGCCTGAACTCGTAGCATCTTACTGCTACGATGACCATTGTTGCTGCTATTGGTGAACGGTCGTCTGGGTCGCGTCGTGTGCGTAGAAGGCCTTGGAAAGTGACTGGGGATATTCCGAGGTAACCCGAGTGAGGGAAGCATCTTGACGCGTTTCCTTTGAGAGGGACGAGAGAGAGGTGTACCATGGGTAGTGATGGGGAGGGGGAGAGAGTGTTAAGATGGAGAGGATGGTGGTGGTGGAAGGAGGAGGAGGAGGAGGAGGAGGAGGGGGAGAGAGAAGGAAGATGGGTGTATGAGAAGAAGAGGGGAGAATGAGAAGCATAGTATCGGTCAATGTATGAAGATGAGGTAGGTCTCTTCACTCTCTCTCTCTCCCTCTAATGATGTGACCATGCGAACAGAACTTCTTTTCAGTCCCATCCCAACACAGAAAAACCTTCGCTCATTTTCATAACTTCTTCCATTCCTCCGTTAGACCAACGCCACTCTTACCTTATGAGACCCAACACCCCTCCCACCTGGGTCTCACTCTCTCTCTTCTTAGACCCACCAGCCACTTCAAGCCCCAATGACATATCGCTTCTTCCCCCACAGACTAGTCCAATTCTCCCTTCTACCGGTTATCCCCTTCCAAAGTGTCACTTCACCCGAATACCGTCCATCTGCAACCCACTACTCCCGTGCGGCGATTTCCCACCTCCGGTCAGCATGCCCGGCGCCACACACAATGTCCAATGGACAAGTACTATACACTATATACCCCTAATCCACAGAAGCACTGTACAGGTATTACATGCCCTCTCAAATAACTAGTACTGACGATCGACAACAATTCAACACCGCATCGGCTCGGCGCTGTTACTCCTCTCATTGTCATCATGAGCCTTCCTACGGCCCGTAAGATGCGCAGATGCAGATGCGCAGAACGAGAACCCGCAGAACCGTACAACCCAGAATACCAGAACACCCAGCAGCATTCAGATCCCCCAACTCCGACTCGTCTGATGTGGAATAAGAAGCCCAGAGGCATGTGCTCCGCACGCGGACGGGCTGTGCACCGATCCATCGCACGGCGTGGATATCGACAACCTGTTCATTGTTGCAGGTGTTGACTTGGACGAGGACACGTGGCATTACTGGCTTCTTTTCTCTTGTCCCGAGAATCTGCCTGGCTTCGAATCCACATTGGCCCACTAGCAGGATCTCCTTTCGGCCCGCAGTTGTGCTGGGCGGGCGCCTCTCTCCTCTGTTTCTATCTGGGTGTCTGCTTCATCTCTTGTTGCTTCGTCCTCCACCTGGCAACTATCACCACACCATCACCAACAACGTCAACTCAAGAGCATCATCAGTATAATCATCATCTAACCTGCCAACCCCAGCATCACTTCCGGAACCACACCACAGGCGGAAAGCAGGATCCGCTCGCTAGCGCTGATACAAGCACCCTCATCATCCTCTTCATCTTCATCATCACCCTCACCAGAACAGGGCGTGCAACATCGGGGTTATTGTACACCCTCTTCTTCTGCTTCTCCTGCTGGTGCTTCGCAGACACGTGTCTGATAATATCTGCAAGTAACGGGTTACGGCAACCCCGCCATGCGCCGGACACGCGATGTCAATTTACTTACTGGCTGGCATTCCCCTATCCCGGGGATGGGATGCTCACCGTCACTCGTCACTCGCCAGTCGGAAGTGGGAAGTGGGGAGTTCACAGAGCTAATCGCAGCCGGCGCAGCCCGTTCCTGCTCCTTTGAGCAAGCTCTTCCCAATAACCTGGCAACCGCAGTCGCTAGTACTAGTCTAGTACGAGTACGAGTAAGGCTGAGCAAGCTCGGACAGACACCCTCGTGCGTCGGCCCGCTACATCCCGGTATCCGATGACAGAGAAGTCAGAATCTACACAGAAGCCCATTTAGCACCATCACCAGCACAAGCACGAGCACAAGCACGAGCACTTCTCGCTAGCCTCGGTCCCTGCGCGCCGGGCACACACTTGGCGGTTATGTATGCATGCTTCGTCGACCACGCCTGCGAACCCCACCTCGCCTGCGGTGCGGATGGGAGAACCCCACTAGTACTGGCATGCATATGCACTAGCAGCTGCCTGCCTATGGACAGGAATGGATAGGCTGGGGTAAGCATTCACGCTCTGTAAGCTGTGCGACCTGCTATTGTTGGCCGGATCCCACACCTTCTCTCCGCGGGATAGGATGGGATAGGAGGATGGACAGCGGTGCCCGCTTGCTATCGTTTACCTTTACCAAGCTTCGAACGCACGCGAACAGAAGGGTTGGTGATGGGACCGCACGGCTGCAGGGTACAGGGTCGTCCTACTCCTCAGCCTATGCCAGACCCGTGCCCAAGTTGACTGGACGGGGAGGGAGGGAGAGTCACGTTCACCCAACCTCGCGTGCTCTTTCCGACCCCTCTCCAGAATCTCCCATCAACATTGTCCCTTGCAAGGTCCTTTTCCCGCGTGGCACGTGTCACGTTCATCCCTGCTGTGCTCCCATGCTTCTCCTCCTCTCCTGCGTTGATGTACGCGGAAGGCGGCCGCCGTGTGCTGCTCCTCTGGGCATCTTCCTCCCACACGCTGTGGCGCTCCCGCAATGAGTCGCTGTCTGCTGTCCGCTGTCCGCTGTCCGCTGTCCGCTGTCCGCTGTCCGCTGTCCGCTGTCCGCTGTCCGCTGTCCGTTGTCCGCTGTCCGCTGTCCGCCTTCATCCGCCTCTGACAATCGCTCAGTATCTTCCCGAACCGGCTTACTCGAGCTGGACACTCACTGCCGGGCAAATGACGACCTCTATGTTAGCCCATCGGATTAGAGCACCCCCGAGTCCAGGCTGTTCCCCCCTCCAGGTGGTCAAGCGCTTCCCGAACCCGTACGCTGGCACCTCAGCCGAGGATACGCCGTCTACGGGCCGGAGGCCAGCACGACACGACACGTACTGTACGCAGAAGCCTGGTCGCGGACCGGGAACGGGGCATGGAGCGCGAAGCGCGAAGAGCGTGATTCGCTCCGATGGCCAGCTTGGCATTCGCATTCGTCATTCGCAAGCGTCAAGAAGCGGTTTGTTGGACTCTGACTCTACGATTCGGGTTTTCCGCACTCGCTCTTCGGCTTCCATCTCCACTCCCACCGTATATGGGCAATTGAGCGAAACGCCGAACGCCGACTCATGAGATCTTCCGCTCGCGAGCGGATCGAATCTGATAATTGCTACAGGAGGACATTCTCGGGTTTGCCGTGCCCGCGCACACAAACGGTCGCTCTAGCTCTACAAAGATGGCTCATCGGTCATCTGCCACGTGTCTCTCGTCTCTGATTCCCAGTGGAGACATAGCCTTGCCCGTTGTTATCGTCACCCAGCCTGAGGTTTCGGGAAGCGTTGTTGATGCTCTCGTGGAGATCGAATGTGGCGCAGATCGCGTGCGGCGATGATGGCACTCACCGTGCGCTGACAGGGGCTGGCTGGACTCGTCCCGTCCAGCCCCGTCCAACCCCAGTCCATAGTTAGATTTAATCATGATGTGGCTGGCTACCTTTACCAGACTGTTAGCTACCAGAATCCAGGTAACAGCACTTCACCTTTATAATGATTCATAGATGCAATATTGACCAAACGAAGATCGGCGAATGTGCTAGTGAGGGTGGTACTCGTGCGAGTTATACACCTTCAACGTTCGCCCATATTGTGCACTTCATGAATTCTATCTGGCGCTAGCGATACAACAGGAGCGATAAATGCTGGGGAGGTAGTCCTTGTATTTCACACAAGCTAAGCTAGCCGGCCTTGCCAATCACCGAGAGCAGGTTCTGCCATCACTGACCGGGCTGAACTCCGTAACGGAGGATCAGGATCAAGGCAACGACTAGCAGGTCATGTCAGCCAACTGAGATCTACCCTGCCGAAGATGAAACTCACCTCCGATCGAGAGCGCTGCCCATTTGTACTTCTTCGCCAGCCTATAGACAAACTTGCTGAACCGGGCGAACAGCCGTACAGCGTTGCCCTTCATCCAATGGAACCTCTGGCGCAGAGTCGTCTTTCGCCACCTACGCGCCAGACGACGGCCACGCAGGCCCGCTGCAGCCATTGATATATGCAGCATTACTGGGCCTTTGATAGGCGACGTTGATCATGCAGGTGGGATAATACTGCGCGAACAGATCACAGTGCTAGATCTTCCAGTCTATTCGTGCTGGATGGGATTGCGAAAAGGAAGAACCGCTGATCTTCTGCCTCTTTTTGCAGTCGGTGAAACATGCAAGATACCATAACTTGTTCATTACACGCCGAGTCATAGTTTCTCATATTCGGCAATTCCAATAAACATGGGGGGAGACCGGCCGAAGTGCCAGCAAGTAATCATATCTATCCCTGGGAGGCGCAGTTGCAGCCTTTATCTAATCAGTGAACCTTGTGAACTTGACGACTGTAGTCACGTAGATAAGAGGAGAAGACTACGTCACATGTAAGTATTTAATGAGTCGAAGGTAAACGTACTTGCTTTATTTAGGACTATTTCCTATGAATACTTTGGCATTCGTGCCTAATTCATGAAGAATGATGATGTGCAATGTCACGATCC